AATACAAAACAGAGGTTGGGGCCAGATCCCAGTGCCATGAAAAGAAACCGATGCTACCATGGAAAAGTGTGAATGGGAGGGGAATAGGTTGGCGTCAGAAAACGCCCGCTTGGTCTCTTCACTCAATAAGTCATTGCGAGTCCGGTCGTTTGGTCCCGACCCCCTCGTCTCTTTTTTTTCTTTCTTTTTTCTTATTTTTTTCTTATTTGAGCTTTTAGATCAGACCAGGCGATCCAGGCGACCCAGACATGGAAAGTGGTGTTGTGGGGTACTCGTAGCCCGACTCGGAGCAGTTGGTCGAGTGGTCAAAGCCATGCGACAAAGAGGGCGTCTGCTGGGTGGGTGGGATCACGACGATCAGTATTCATGCTTTGCGAGGCACAGAGGCGCCGGGGCGGCGGTGGTTGGTTTGGTAGTGGTGGTGATGGTGGCCATGATCGGGGAGAGGAGCAGCAGTAGGTGGTGCCGACGAGACAAAGCTCGTCTGCAGGCGAGGCAGGGACAAGTGTGGAGGATGAGGTGGTGGGACTGGGTACGCGTGAGGTTGCTGGCGCGAGGAACTCACATGAGGGTTCGAGTGGTCGTACGGCGCGGGCGCGGACACGTCCATGCTGGACATGTATCCGTAGTTCATGTACGGCGCCACCTCCTCCCCGTAGCCCGAGTCCCGCTTCATGCACGCGGCATCGCTGAAGTGCGTCAGGGATGGGAGCGTCACCGGCACCGTGGTCGGCACCAGGTAGTCTTGGTACGCCTCGGCCGCCGTGACCGCCCTGTAGACGTGCGCCGGCCCGGCTGCCTGGGGCGGCGAAGTGCTGTACTGCGAAACCATGATGTCCTCCGGGGGCGGGTACGAGTAGAAGAGACCCGGCGGCGAGTGCGACCGCTCGCGGTCGTCGTACTCCTGGTGGAAGATGTCGTCCACGGGGTGCATCGGGGGCGTGAACTGGTTGGGGTAGGTCATAGGCGGCGTCAGAGGGGCCACGGCCTGTGTGGGCTGCGGCTGTTGCGCCTGCGTCTGTTGGAGCTGCTGGGACTTGGTGTTTTTGGTGCTGGGGCGCGACGACTTGGTACTCCTGCTGCTGCTGTTGTTGCCGTTGCTGCTGTTTCCGGCGGGCTTCTCGCTGCCAGACGAGGTACCGTCCGAAGTGCCCGCCCGTCGCTCGAGGTCCTCCAGGCGCCTCTTGAGCTTCTTGCCTGCGCGTGGGGAGTCCGTGTTAGCCAGCTTTGCTCACCCGCGCCAGAGAGCCAAGCTGGGCGCATTGCACCCCTGGGTCCGCTACTTACGGTAGTTGCGCTGAGCAATGCGGTTCTGTATCCTCCGGCGCTCAGCAAGGTCCGAGATCTTGGTCCAGTCCTCATCAGGGTTGGCCGAGGCGCTGAATGCGCTGCTGGTTCCAGAGTACTGCCTGGGGGCCGGCGGGGCCGGCGCGTAGTACTGCTGTTGGGGCATTGCGAACATTGTGAAGGGGGCTTGAGGCCGCGAGGTTATCGTCGGGTGCCCGGGTGTTGGTGTAGGTGTTGGTGTTGTGAGGTAAGGCTCGCTGTATGCTATGGTGGTGGGAGCAGTAGAGTAGAAGTGATGGTTGATCATGAGCTCGAGCGTTGGAAAGCGTGGGAGCTAGGGAGGGGCTTGAGAAGATATATATCTTGTTCCTCTTCGCTTGATCTTGCTTGAGATCGGTGGTGGTGGCATGTTGACAGTGGCGGGGGAAGGGCCACATTATTAAATATCCCAGACGCCATCTAGGAGAAGGATGGGAAGGCGTGCGCAAGGTCGACGGCTGCTTTACGGGTGTGCACTCCGACAGCCCACCCTCCACTCCCCTCCCCTTCTGCATGTATTTTGTTACCCACCCCCTCCGACACACTCCCCTTAGTAGGCCGCAGCGAGCAGGGTACGTACTGCCTATACGGTACCACGAGCGAGAGGGGAGGGGTGAGAGGGGAGGGGTGGTGGTGGATGGATGGGTGGATGGATGGACCGCAGGGAAGCCTGGGCAGTCGGCGATTCGGTTGAGCACCGCATCCATGAGTACCTGAGGTTGGCCCATTTCCCTACCGACCGCCATTGCGCGCAAGCCCCGCTGCCAGGGTACTTTGGCCTTGGGACACACGCCCCTTTGCATCCCACACCCGACAGCAGCAGAAGGTGTCCAGCCCTGTGCTGTGCAGGGGGGGAGGGGTGTGCGAGAACTTGGCAAGTGCGAGTTCTGTGCGAGGGGGGGGCCTGGTTGCTGGAGCTAGTCGGGCGATCAACGGAAAAGGCGGACGACAGGGGAATTTTGGTCGACCACCCACCCACACATACAGCTGCGCTGCGCTGCAGACGGCGCACGCACGCCCATTCGCTTCTTCGCGTTCGTCCTCCTGTCTCTGTCCCTCCGCCTCTGCGCCATGCGTCATGTACCCAAAGTACATGGCCCTCGATCGATGCTGCAACTGGGACTGGGCTGCAGGGGACGTGGAGCAGCGCTCGCAGCGACGAGAGCCTTACCGCACCGCGGCCAAGCTAGCTGTAGGCAAGTATGTAGGCAAACATGTAGGCAAGTACCTATTTTGGTGCTGTGGGTGTGTGCGATGCGGATCGAGCGAGTGCTTGCGATAATGGATGGCCTCGAGGAAGAGGTTTGCTGGACGAGAGACATCCATTGTCGCTTTGGGCGGGGTCCTTGGCTGTCGTGGTGGGTGGTCCGCCGTCTCCGTTTCAACGCTGAGTAACACGTACCTCTCCCGGCGCTCAGCGACGGGGGCGCTGCTGCTGGTCGCAGGTACGAGGCGTGCAACCTCGTCGAGCAAAAGGAAAAAACAAAAACGCGCCGGAAAGCGTGGGAACGGTGGGGCGTGCAAGCAAATCTCATAACGGATACTGCCACACTGGCGGAACGGAGCCGATGATTCAAAACGGGAGGCCATAGGAGTGTGGCGGGTGTGGGGCACAGGGCATTGCTATATTTGCCCACATTCATTTCAGTGCACCCTAGAGCAAGAGTGCGAGACCTGCAGTGCTCGTAACCCGGCCAGCAGGGATATTCTTGGGCGCTGGCAATCCGGCCTTAGGAGGAGAGGCACTTACAAAGCCCCAGTGCCTCTCCCCTCCCCCTCCAGGGCATCGAATCCACTGCGACTGGGCGCGCCCCAGCACAGGGTGGATGCTGGCAGCGCAGCAGCAACTGGCGGTACCCGCCGTGCCCAACTGCTGCCTCTGGTTGGCCGAATCGCGCGGTATCGGCGAAAACGTCTCCCAAAGGGGATGTCAACCTAAACATGTTTCTGTTTTTCGTCAAGCCCACCCATCCCCCGGCGCATGGCGAGATTATAGTAGGCAGATGGCGCCAACCCGGCCCACGGCCCTGTGACGTAAGTAGGTAGGCCAAGGTAGATTTTGACCGTTGTTAGTTTTTGGAAACTAGAAGGGTATGTGCGGTTTAACTAGCAACAGGCGGAAGCCGCACATGCTCATCCTCCTGTGGCTTGCTCCGCCTCCCGTCGGCCCAGCACAAACATGGACAACCCCAGATCAAAAAAAAATATATGCGCCGGCGGGAGAGGGATTCGGAGTCTGTTTGCAAACCCGATATCCCCAGACGTCTGCCGCTGTCTCCCGTTTTCCGTCCGCCTGCCTCCCACCCCCATGCGAGACCGCACCATGCTGGTATGCTGCTGCGGCCCTTGGCTCGGACCCGCGAGGTCTCGTGGGGACGCAAAAGGTCGGTGCCTTGCCGGGCTCAGACTCACATTAGAGCCATTTTGTGGATACAAACATGCCCGCAGCAAGGACTCCACGATCAAGGTAACGAGGAGCCACAAACAACCAGCTGCCGGTTTTCGCCCTTCATTCCGGTTTTCGCCTTTCATTCCATTTTGCTTTTTTTTTTTGTCTTTTTTTTTTCCAGCGCACGTAGTATTTATTTACCTAGGTACGTACCTAAATTGGTGGACACGATTTGAAATCCTTGGCACCCACAGCCATGCGGCAGTATCAAAAAGGAAGGTTGGGGGCCGAAGCGGGCCCTGGCGGGCAAAAATCGCGGTAGGAGTTACCATTCGGACCCGGGCGGTGTCTATAGTCGAACCATGATATCCAGGAGGCTGCAGCCCGTATTGGCTGGTCGCAGGACTGAATGCCATGCCGTGCGTGTCTGCTGCTTCATGTTCTCTGCTCCGCCCCCATTTGGAATGGGGAACTCCCCCCTCCTCCAGCACCCAACCTCGTCGAGAAGGGGGAGGGGGGGGCAAGAAGGATCAGAAGTGCCGGCGAGGCACAAGGACGACGCATGTGTTCTTCGCAGCAAGGCCAGGTGGCCGACCGGCTCTCATGGGAAGGGCTCAGCAAAACGGCGCGCGAAGCAGGTACGCGCACCTGGTGTTAGTGCCGCGCGGCGGCAGAACAGAAAAGTGCACACACACACATACATGCACACACACCACACCCCCAATCGGCGGCAAGGCGGCCACCCAAATCGATCTCACATTGGTTGTGGTAGACGCAGCCCCGGATGACGACCCCAATCCGGAAAGTAATGTCGAAGTGCTTGCTCCGCAAGGCCCGATCAAATGCGCCAAATGCAAAGATAGAAGATGTTTCTCCTTATTTTACACACATGTGGCCGCTGGCCCTTCCACAGCAGGATCCAAATCTCGAATCACCTGCGGCGTACCCTCGGCTACTGAGCGATATGGCGGTGTTTTTTTTTCTCTCTCATCGTCCATCCCCTGCCCCTGACGATGGTCCGTCCCAGGGCCCACAGGCCCACACCTGCGCGAGCTCCCAGTCCGTGGGAAAGTGCGGACCAAACGGACCAAACTGCACGGACGCTCTCTGCTGGGCCCTCCCCGCCGCGCAGGCCGGGGGTGATGGCGATCGCACTGCCTCGACGTGATTGGCCAGCTCGTCTAACAGACCAATGTTTCCACCTGGGGCCCTAACCAGACCGGTGGGCCCCCTTACAAAACGTCATGACCCTGCCCCAGACTGCCGGGGTGGGTGGTAGTAGCACGAGAATTTCTCCGCCGTCGCTCCCTCGACATTAGACGACCGAAAATTGGGAGCGGGTCTTCCCAGGCTGCCAGAATAAGACCTTGTCCGGCACCACCTGGCCCCAAGCAACGTAACTGTGATGGTAGTCCCGCCATTATGCCTACCAATGCACAGCTACCGATATCATTGATGTTATTGATTAAAGACGGAACTGGAGATGGAAGGAGGGTGCGTGATGGTTGGTCATCACAGTGGAAGCGGCGCCTGCAGATGAGCCCTCGGCCGACGAGCTTTTTCCCTTGTTAAATTTTCCCAGGTCTCCAGAACGGGTCCCCAAGGGAGCTCGCGTGGCAGAGCCGTGCCAGTGTGGCACAACAGCTCGGCGGGGAGGGACGACAGAGCTTCGGGAATAGCATGATTCGCAGGGGACAGCGGAAAGGAAACAACATGAACAGTAATTGGCACACACCACACAAACACACACATACACACACGCCTTATGGTAACTTTGCCGATATTCGTCTTCCATCCCTTCATTCCGCCTTGCCTAGCCAGCTTGGCCTAGACGCCCCGGCCAGCGCTCCCCGCCGCCCCCTTACCGGCTCGCTGAAGGGGCCTCCCTGTGCGCTAGGGGACCAAGATGCTGAGTGGCTGGCATGCCATGTCGATATCCCACCACCCCATTCGGCTGCTCGGGCGTTGGGATGGCTTTTGGGTGCTAGCTCGGCCGGGACTCGAACTGACCAGGAGGCTTTGTTCATTAGCTTAACATTTTTTTTTGTTTTTTTTACCTGTCCTTCCGTCCCTCAGCCCTAGGTTGCCATGTATCGTCCACCAATATGGGTCGGCACATCTTGCTAGTAAACCCTCATGCGAGTTAGGATTTCGTCCGATGACAATTACGTGCTCGGGCGGAAGTGCGGGAGGGAAGGAGGGAAAGGGAGGAGCGCCATACCGCTATTGTGGTGTGTACGGGCTTCGTTGGGCGCAACGACGCAAGATTGGCTGGATTTCCTCCACAATTACCGAATCGAGCAACTCTCCGCGACTGCAACGACAGCCGGACAAGCCCGTTGGTGTGCGCGAGTGGGCATCTGCCGGCGCGGGCTCCTGCTTACAACAGGGTTCACAAACCACCAACCGGCCTGACGATGTGCCTGTCCATACTGACAGAGATGGAGGTAGATGGCCTATGGAGGGGCGTGTGATGAAGATGCTTCACCGTCAACGAAGCGAAAACGGTGTCGCTGGCGCCCAAAAGAAAAGGGTGGCCAAGATGGCAAGCTCCCTGCTCCACAAACATCTACATACGACCTACGACCAACCTCCTGGTCGTGTTCCTATTTTCATCGGGCTGCATTAGGCCAACGTTGTGGGTGGTGGGCGCCTGCTTCGAGGAAAAACGCCCAAAGAGGATAGGTTAATCGAGATATCCATGTGGCGGGCTCTCGAAATACTGTATGTGTGTGGTCTGTAAGTGAGCAAGTACGTCCCCTTCTAGAGAGAAAGAAGGAGAGAGAGTTTGTGTGTGTGGGATTTCCAGAAAATGAGGTTGCGCCATTCGTTCACATCGGTATTGGAGCTTGTGGCATCCATTTCGATGCAGACCTCATGCTGGGCCCTCAGAAACTCCACCATTGAACCACGCGCGCAAGAATGGAAGATTTGCTCTGCCAGGCCGGCAAAAGGTCCCCGCAGAAGGGCGGGCTTCCCCAAAAAAGACAGCCAGCCGACTCCAATGACCAAAGACGTGCAGGTTGGGGTCTAATTTTACCCACAGGGGATTTCCTTTTTTGCCCGTTTAGCGCGCCCTCTCGTTTACTGGCCAATCAGGGCGCGCGGATCCATGTCGTCACCGCACCTTCGATCTCCTAAACCGGAATCCATGCTCAGGGTTTATTTTTAGCCGTTGCTTTCGCTTGGCTGGCACCACCACCGCACCTCGTCCTCCTTCAATCTATCTCAGGCGCTCGCATACAGTCTTGTCTGTATTGTTTCCAGCATCTTTTTTTGGGTGCCAACCATCGTCAGCTGCAGCCCGTACGGGTATGGGCTCAAGGTCCAGATTCCAACCCTCAATCCTTCGTCCTTTTTTTTTTTTTGGCCTGCATGCTTCGGCAATGCAGGGAACAAACAAGATGTGCGTTGTTCCATCTTTCCATCGCGCGCCCGCTGGCGAAGAAAAGGGGGCTGTGTTTACAAACGCCCACATCAAGCGAGCAAATAAAAATCGGGCTAGGCCCAGCCTCGGAGGATCTCGCCGTGCCATGCCACCACCATACTGCCCAAAGGGCATTTAGCCCTACGATGCGCTCGATTCGGCCTAAAGTCACGCCCGTTAAACGGGGCAAGACATTCGGCCTAGCATGGCAAAACATCTCTCACCTCGTACAGGACCCGATCGTGGCAGCAATGATTTGGTGGGTGGCGCCCGGCATTGCTTTCAGGAGGCGGCGGTATCGACATGGGCGTTTGATACGCATGTCATTTGCTATGTCGCGACGGTCATGTCCCAGTAAAAAGGATCTCATGAAAAGTACCCGCGCAGATTGCCTACCACCCCTAGTCGTCCAATCGTTGTCTGGTTGAATACGCTGGCTCCGGGATTCGAAACGGGCTGAAGAAGAGAGCCCAGGGCCTCCGCACATCTTGATCCAGCTGCTTCCTCCCTCCTCCCCACCGCCATCGTCCCAAAAACTGCGCCTGCGCGCGGTGGGCCAGGCCGCCAGGCAGCAAGATTTCCCTTTGAAATTGGGACAAGCCAGGGTTCAAGGTTCCCAAGCCGGCGGGGCGGGGGTGGGAGAAACCAAACCCCCCTCCTCCCCACCCCTCTCCCTCTTCCCATGTCCTGGTTCCAGCCCCGCCGGCATGGTCCAGGATATGGTCCAGGGTGCTCTCTGCCCAATCATAGTGGGTCCCCCGTAACTTTATCTTGCCGGTGGAGTCTCGAGTCGAACGAAGCCAAAATCAACGGCCCGCCGTCGATCGTTTCTGATTGGTCCGGTCGTTTAGAGCTAGAGGGGAGAACGGCCTCAGCCTTATCCTCACATGCCGTGTCGAGAAAGATAAGCGCCTCGTAGCACACCGTCGCCACCGGCAGTCCTTTTGATCATCGGTCTTTTTTTTTTTTTTTTTTGAGGGGTTATACGCGTATGCTTTCTTCACATCTCGTATGTCGTATGTCGTTTGTCGTTTGTCGTAATATCTGTTTTTTTTCTTCTTGTACGTGCAGGACCTATGGATACCCGCACACTGTATACACTGCACTCCTCAAGGTTTACTAAACCCACCCATCGCAGCCCAATGATAAAATAAAGCAAAAAGAAGTCGAAAAAAAAATACCAAGGCAGGCGAGTTTAACTGACTAGGACGGTCTCCGCCGAGTCCCGCTCACGGCTTCAAGGCAACGCTTACATGCCACTCCCAGCTCCCCGGCCCCGGGCGGGCCCGGAAATAGAGGAGTACGCGGTCACATGTCTCGCGCCCTGCCCCGTCCCGTGGGGCTCCCCTCGAGTTGGCTGTCATGACGGCGGGAATGCGGTGGCGGTAGAGCGCGCCTTGCGGACCGGCTTACTGGGCTCGCGCGCAGCGCGACGGCGTCGCGGGAGGATCCAGTTCGATCGATTCTTACATCCTCTTCTGTACTAGCCCGCGCGCCGCCCACGACGACCCTCATCTCGTTGGTTCTAAAAATTCCAAATTTCGAACTAGGGCCCAACTCCTCCCACTACGTCTTGGGGACCGTTTTTCGAGGGCCCAGGTTGATTACCTGCTATTTTAGCTTTCGATTCCAAATGGCCCAGCTTAAAACAAGACTGTAGCGTGCGTTGCCGCCATGGCACATGAGTGAGATAAACAAAAGGAAATGTGCTTTGCTTCACATTCCTGAAACCGGGCACTCCTGGGTTGACGGACGGCCTGTCCGCTCCCTCTCCCGCGCGCGGGTGAGAAAAAGCCTGCGGGGAGGGGGGGACAGACGTATGGGTGTGCTTACCGAGCTCTCGGTTTTTTTTTTTTTTGTTATTCATGCCACAGTGTGTACCTGCAGGCGACCCAAAAGAGGTGGGGTTGCCTTGCGCGCGCGCGCGGGTGGCTTTTAACGTGGGAGGGGCCCCATGACAAGTTCCATGTAAGAGACTTGTTTTTAAGGTTCTCACCGCCCTCTGCGCCTGCGCGGGCGCGCGCAGCCCCCCTCAAGCCACTCTTCCAACATCCGTCTGCCGACATGGAAGGAGGGGGAGGCTAAACTGGATTGGAATGTGGCTGCACGTTCTCGCCTGCGTCTGTGCCGCAAATTTCCAACGCCACTGGAGGCAGAGAGGCGGCCAGAATGCACATTGTGTTGCTTTGATGGTGCGAGTTTTTTCCCATTCGAGCATGCAAATGCGGCGGCATTGACCAATTTTCGGTGCTTGGCTAGGAAGTGCGTGCATTTCCGCAAAACCATGCTTCCTCCCCCTGAAGCCGCTACTGTGGCAGCAGGGACCGAGCCAGAGGCAGGGGCAGAGAGACTCGGCCGAAACCCGAACCGCCTGCCCCGATACCTGTGGCGGCAGGTGGGCAGGCAGCTCGACGGCGGCAAGGTTGGCAGCAATTGCCTGCCGAACAGGCGGCCAGTAGTCTAGAACGCGCATTGACACTCTCCTTTCTCCCCCAGCCCAAGTTTTGATGTATGAGGGATAAAGGAGGGGGGAGGGGATGAGGTTGCAGCTCTAACCCGAGCTGAGCAATCACACAGGCCCTTTCCTCCCAATTGTGAATTGTGGCGGGCAGCCCTCTGGTTGGCGCCGCTCCGGAGTCCCGGAACCCCCATTCTTGGGACCGGGCCCCGGCGACTTGGGATACTTGGGGATGAGGAGGGGGGCAGGCTGCGAAAAGCAGGGCAAATTCGAGTCTTGGGGAGCGTGCGCCATACATGGGCCTGCATCAATCTGCAAAGAACTTGGTCTATTGTTTCACATCGTTCATACTGGCTCCCCGACTCGACGGCTGTTAGGGTCTGGGCCTTATTTTTCCCAGTGTTTATCCCAACAAGAGGAATAGGCGGAATGAAAAGGCTAATCAGAAGAAGAGAGAGAGAAAAAAAAAAGGTGTTCGCCGAAGCCGGCCCAAGAAAGAGACAGAAAAGCAAAAACTTCGGATCCGGCTTCCCTCCAGGGCTGGAGGCAGCAGAGAGGATGAAAAATAGATAAGGTTCATTCAACCAAAGCAGGGCGGGGCTGCCTTGAGGCGGAGAGAAGCTGCCTGGCCGACCAGTCCCTGTCGCCTGCGGCGGAAAGGCGGGATGCGGAGGCGAGAGCAGGTCTGGCTCGACTGGGATCTGGGGAATATCTCATTTCACAGCGGTGGCTGTATTCCGGCCCCCAGTAGCCACTTCCTGCGAGCGTCGAACCAAGGCAGCAAGGCCAAGGGGGATAATGGCTTGCCATTAAGCTCCTTACGTGGGTCAGAGGGAATTACGGGGCTTGCGACCCGGCTGTGGCATCCAAGCCATTTGATGATGCGATGCAACGGGGGCTTTGTGGTGCTGGGGGCGGCCCAGAAACACCCCCAGCCAAATTTTCTTCAATAGAGCCCCGGTATTAATTCGAGGCCCGAGGTCCGTGTGTCGGCCAGGGGGGTTCCCACGGTCGTGACACCATGTGCCGGATGGAGAGAATACGATTTTCCGGATAAGGACGACCTCCACCTTTAACCTCCACTACCATCCGCGAAATACAGTTGCAAAGGGAAGGAAAATAAGAAGAAAAAACATGTGAAGCATGAGGAGTATCCCTTCCAGTCGCCACCTTGGCAACACCCGTGTCCCCCCTCCCCCCTCTTTGGCCAATCCGGGCTCGAGGGAATGTCGTCGGGGTAAGCGTTCGATGGAATGGCCTGGTGATTGATCGGAGCCCCCGCCAGCCACGGATCCCGGCCAAGCGGGAATATCGTGGTGGTGCTGCTGCAAAGAGAAAAACAAGGGCACGCCCGCGCGCGCACTTGTCGGACGGCCAGATACGGGCTGGCGACGGCGGATGACCCCAGAAAAGATGGGATGGGTTCGATAGAGAACAGTGCCTTGCTTCTCTGGTGGTTTCAAGGCGCAACGCGCGCATTCGTCGTCCTGTCCATTTGGTGGGCTGCAGCTGCACGCCCCTACCTATTGGCCATGGCCTTTGGTACTCCACATCGTTGACGAGGGGCCATGTCCACAAGCACCCAAAAAAAAAAAAAGAAAAAAAAAAAGAAGTCGTTGATCTACGATAATAGTAAGGTGCTGATATCCAGCCAGCACAGGCCTGGGAGGGAAATAACCTCGGAGAAAAACATAAATCCGAAATAGGAGGCTTGCCTGGCCTGGCCTAGCAAGATGCCAGGGTCCCGATGCCCGGGGGTGGGCGATGATCTTTTGTCAAAAGATTGCTGTCGCCGAGTTTGGACCTCAAGTCCTGCCGGGGTGAGAGAGAACATCCAGACTCGGTTGCATGGAGGCACGGACGAACAAGGTCCAGGGGGGCCCAAAACCACGGGCCCAGCAAGGTCGTCCGTCGCGCACGCGCGCACGTCCCTCCTCCCCGTCAAACCGCCCGCCAAGCATCCCGCTCCAACTCGGACGACCGTTTTGAGGCAAGGGAAAAACATTCGAGATTGCCAACGCGACTAGCTCGTCGTCTTTCGGGCCGTTGAGCGGCTAGGGAGGCTGTCCGCACCCCTGCGTCCACATGCTAATCATTGCTTTTTATTCCCTTTGTGATTTGAAAGAAAAGCACGGCCGACCGCCTCCGGGGCTTTTTTTGCATGTTTCGTAAATCCGAGGGCTTGCGAGAGGGACGACGTATCAAGACGGGATTTTATGGGGCTCCTTGTGTGGTTCGCTGGCCATCACCACACACCATACATCCAGAATACCTTAAGCGAAGGGAATAGAAGGGAAGAGAAGGCCAGCGAAGACCCTTTTCGTTTTGTGATGAATTTTTGCTTCACCGCCATGATGCCCGGGCATGCTTCCGCAGTATCGCGCCGAGTCCCCAAGCTACCGCATCGAGCAGTGCGTAGATCAGTGAACACTGGATGGGTTGGAAAGCGTCTCGGCACCCCCAAGCGATGAATAAGCGGCGAGCGCCTTCCCAGGCGCGTTCAGTGTGATGTGTGGGCCGCCCTGGGAGCTGCAACCAGCACCGGGGAGACGGGCTGTCCAGAAATGCTGTTGCCTACACGCTGATCTTTGCCGTGCAGGACGACTGGTTTACTGCCAATTACCAATGTAACAGGTGGGAACCAGGGCACGCCCCCACACCCACCTCAACGAGCTTCGGTGACCTCCTGCATCCCGCCATCAAACGCCTGCGAGGTAAATCCGACAAAAGCCGTGTGATGGCTGCAACCACCTATCGACCAGCTTCGCTCGCGCGCGGGTCTGCCTGCCCAGATGGGGGAGGGAGCGTAACATCGCTCT